AGAGAGAGAGAGAGAGAGAGAGAGACCTTAACAAATAATGAGAAGGTATTTAAAGAATGAACTATGTGGTAGACAAATTGCTGACCCATTGGAAGGTGGACAAATCTGTGATTTAACTAGCAATATTACACTTCTAAGGTCACTTCTTTTTACCCCAAAACCCCAGTTCACAATCTATGCATTTTCTCAAACTAAGAATATAACTGTGGGTATCATAGAAGAATACTTACTTTGATGCAAAGGTAAGTTTTACAAGCAAATGTCTTATATTTAGGTGTGTGCATATATTTACATACACACACACACACACACACACACACACACACACACACAGTGCTGGGATGATACCAGACTGTGCACGTATGAAATGTCCACAACAAGCCCTATGCAGAGAAGATATAACAAGGGGTGCTGAAATGTGTCACAGTGTGTTTGGTGTCCACAAGGTGTGCACTCCACATTTGAGCATGAGCAGGGGCTGCTAATGAAGTGTAGAAGTCTGTGCCCACATGCATGTGCTGCAAGTCAGTAGATGGGTCTTCTTTCCCCAGTCTAAGCAGCCACAGGAATGGGCATTTGGTTCAACTGGCCACACAGTCAACAACTGTCCCAGGTTTCAAATGCACTTCAGCAACTGTTTCTGGAGCCTGCGTCTGAGTCGCCACTGGTTCATCTCATCCGTCTCAAGCTGAAGACTTCCCCCAACCTTCTGCACTCTTCGGTTCCTCTGTGAATTTTGATTTACAGCATTGTCCAACTCCACCTGGATCCTTTACTAATTAGTGATAGATGCAGCTTCCTCACCTGACCACCACCCTGAGCTGGGATACTGTGTAATACAAGCTGAGATTTCAGCACACTATCAGAATCACCCTGCATCTCTCTCGCTAATTTCAGCTTTATAAATGGCTTCATAGTTCCATTCCAAACAGTCTGAAGTTTGCAGTATGGAAACTATTCAGCCTGACAATTTTAACTTGGCAGGCAAGATGGGCGTGACTGCACTTAAATGGAGAATATGTGGGTCATAAAGAAGGGAAGTTGTTGCTTCTACTGCAATTTAGAAACTGGTACTTCTCGTGTTCACCACGTCTTGAAAGCAGTCACACAGAACATAAATTCTATTCTCTCTTACTGCTGTAAAATGACTGACTAAAAAAATATACTCTGGGAAAAAGAATATTTAAGAATCTATCCATATTTTCAATTTTCAGAATGATGCTCCATTGAACTTCACAGCAGCCAAAGCCTGGGCTGAAGATAAGAGGGAAAAATGTTATTATTACCTGAGCCAAAAGTAAAAGTATTATTACCTGAGCCAGTAAGTAAAATGCACTCAAATGGACTTCTGCATGTAGACAATGTTTTTGCCCAAGTGATTAAACCTGCAATAGAAAGATTCTGCATATTACTTAATACAAACTCAGCATATTTATTTCTCTTTGGAAAGCAAGTTTATACATGCCTCGCAAAAGTATTATGGCCTTAAAATGTTTTGTTGTAGACTACAAGTGATACAAATACAACGTTGTCCAAATACTATTTTTATTGCGCTGAGACATGTTTAAGCTGCTCAAATTTAAAAACAAATCCAGTTAGCTACAGATAAAGGAAACAAAGAAACTGTGATATGCTGCTTGCAAAATTATACAGATGCCATGGCATGGTATTTGGTAAACCCACCTTTTACTGTCATGGCAGCTTTTATTCTATTGGGCCGGGTGTCAACCAGTCCTGCACAATGTTTATGAGTGGTGTCCGTCCATCAGTGTCAGCACTTTTAACTGGGCCACTCTAGGACATTCACCTTTTGCTCCTCTGCCACTTTAGTGTTGCTTTGACTCTATGACTTTTGTTCACTGTCCTGTTGAAATGATTTCCTGCTAATGTTGCATTTCATTGCAGAATGAATCAAGTTCCTTTATAGCTTTTTCAAATAGTTTGTTAACCTCTCAGTAGCTTCCTTCATAAAGCTTCTGGGTGGTATGTTTTGACCAGTGTCTAAGCAGTGTCTGGTTCATTTAATGCACCTTCTACTTCTTTATCACTTTGCCAGCATTGATCACCAGAATATTTACAGTAAGTATATAAAAGAAAATAGAAGATTATTTTTTAGCATTTACATTTTGTATTCATGGGCATGACTATTTCTTTTTAACTTCTTTAGTATGCTTGTTTCCTTCAGATCCAATGCTTAAGAAATAATCCCCAAACATACCAGGGTTTTTATCCATTAATTCACAAGCAAAGGCCAATGATAATTCAAACAGGTATTGTTTTAAGGGCAATTATTTTGCCTGTACACTGACCTACCACAGCACAGGGTCTAGATCAGGGGTCACCAACATGGTGCCCGTGGGCACCAGGATACCCCCAAGGACCACAGGAGTCGCCCGCGGACCTGTTCTAAAAATAGCACAACTCACCAGTGAGCAGCATCTAAAATGTAATTTTATCCTGTTGCTATTCTTCTTTAATCACATTTGCATTAATATAGATTTGAAAATGACAATATCTAAAAAAAGCATTTAGAACATGTTTATTATACATGAAATTTAGATTTTAGGAGGATGTTTCAAACTGGTAGCCCTTAATATGGCTCAGTACCCGTGACATATCTCTCCGTTTCAAAAAGGTTGGTGACCCCTGGTCTAGATGTTTATGCAAGCAGCATATTTCACTTTTAGCCTTTGCTTCATGTATCTGCAGACAAATTTTCTGTTTGGGCCTGTCACTTTGTAACAAAAATAGTAGTTGGACCAAAGTGTCTGTGCATGATTTGTAACTGAGAAACATTAGAAAACCTGTATGAATGAAGAATGAGTATGAATAATAATCCTCCCAGTTTTATTTGTTCTAAATGTAGTATTCTGTGCTTTGCCTTCCTATCAGGAGATAAAAAGCAGCTGATGTGTTCCTCTTCCAATTCACACCCACACTTACTCCATCCTGTTTTTATAGTCCAACTGTCAAAGAGAGATAAGGAATTTCCCTGACTCAGTGATTCCTGAAAAACTGGACAAAAGATTTAACCCAGCTGAGTCCTGAAACTTCCCTTTACCAGGAACTGGACAATGACACAAGATTCAAACTGAAACTGAAAATACAGCCTGGATATCAAGAAGATTCCTGAACAAGATCTTTTACTATATAGCCTCCTTAAATGACATCATATGCTTTGTTTTTGGAACTTCGCTTACTCTTGATTAAATCATTAACAGTATAGTTGAAAATGCAATTTATATGGCATTAGGGGACTCGGCTGACCCAAAAATCTAGCAAAACTGGAAACAGGCACTGAAAGGAAACATGGGAAGGCATCAAATAACATGTTTTTCGGATTCATTTCTAAGATTACTTACGTAAATAATGGTGGAAACTCTTGGATGAGTATAATCAATTTTACATGCAATCCTCCACTCTGATAATAAATTTTAAATGTTGTACATATCGGTACATACTGCGAGATATATACAATGTAACCAAAAATTATAAGCTGTGAAAAAATTATCAAAAATGTAATGAAATTGAGGATATTGATTGTGAAATTTTATGACACTTTTCCTCAATGCATTGAGTATTTCTGCAATTTTAGCCATATTGTGAAACTCTAACCCTACAAATGCTTGTGCAGAGAATGACCATCAAGGCTACCTGTAGAAACTAAGGCTACCCAATAACTTGCCTATTTGGATCACCTGCTGTTATGTGTTGTGTTAAATGACCTCTATTGTGACTGTGAACTCTTCCCATTTCTCACGTATTCGTTCGACTCTATGAATGGCCAGGTGTACAAATAATTATTTGAAGGCAATAAATTACATAATTTGAAAACAATTCCAGAATATTGTCATGACCTGCTCGTCCAATCCTCCTGTCTGCCATGCCCCCCTCGTTACTTCATGTGAATTCCTGATTGTTCTCGGCTGTTCTGCATTTCCGTCCCTTAGTCATGTGTATTTAGTCTGCATTCACGTCAGTTTACCGAAGTCCGGTCATTGAAGTGTTGTGAAGTGTTTTCTGTGTTCATGTGTCCACATTAAACCCCATTTTTGGACTTCTGTCTGCCTGACTCTGATTCCCCACTCCCAGCTCGCTCGCCCTGCACAGGGACACCACAAATACGGTGAACTTTTGAATAAAAGTTTTTCTTGTTTCTTTACATAACACGCAATGATGTAACATTTTAGACAGTTTTTAAAGTTTGTTCTTCAATATCCTCAGTTTCATTTTTGACCATTTTTTCACAGTGTACAAATAATTTTTGGCTACACTGTAGTCAGTCTGCTTGTTTTTTGCTCATTAACAATCTCAATTGAAAATTGTAGGACAAAACATAATATTTAGAGCATAAAAATGCATCCATAGTTAACATTAGATTATATTAGCTGTTACTGTTAATGAGAACTGACAAAGTCATTAAAATAGCTTTACTGCTCTGGCATTTTGATCAAATATATAGACGTTTAAATATATTTAAACTTCTGGTATTAATTTCTCAGTGAAAAATAAACATCTGTTGCAAGCAGTTCTGTAATTATGCCTTCCTACCAACAGTAATAAGAGGGTAAAAAAGTAGACTTGGAAAACCAAAACAAAGACTGACCTGGGTAAGTTATCTAAGCATTACACAGCAGAGCAGGGTTCAAAGATGTCAGGCAGGCAGGTTCCAAAGGGTGTGAGAAAGGGAAGAGCTGTGGTGGGCGGGGACTCACCTTCACAGACTCACACCTTCATGATCTGAGAGGAGTCAGAGAAGTTAGCAGAGGGGAGAGGGGCCAAGCTGGTAGGGGAGGCAGAGGGGCTCAAGGCGCACTGAGCTGAAATGTAATGGAGGAATGCAAATGAAAAATGTAGAAAAAAAAATTAAATGGCAGTTGCAAAGCTACTATTATCATATGCTATAGAGTGAAATGAAGCTGACTGGTAATATTCTAAATGCATTTTTTCCTACAGCCAAAAACTTTAATTAGGAGAATATATTCTAGGAAAATAGCCTTTTTAAATTTTTTACATATAGTCTTAGGATTACTATTTGTTCAGTTCTCTCTGTCTAAAAAAAATGACAAGCAGCCTATAAAAAGGTAACAGGGATTGGAGCATGTACAGTGCCTGACAAAAGTCTTGTCGCTTAACCAAGTTGTAGGTACAACAAATAATAACTTGACCTGTAGTTAATCAGTTGGAATCAGAAATGGCTTATAAGAAAAGGCAAAGCCCTCTAGATTATGCTTATTATACCAAAATAAAGTTTTGC